CTAATTTTTTCTATGTATATATTCTTCATTGTATTTATTTATTTGATTTTTTCGAGAACAGAGTCCTCACTTGTTCGCCTCAGGCCTACGCATGTGCAGTTGCGGTTCGGTGTCAGCCTAACTCCCAGCAACCTCCAATCCTGCGGCGCTCAAGCGGATTCCTCCTCGCCCTCAGCCTCCCGCCAGTAGCTGCGACTACAGCGCATGCGCCACCACGCCCGGCCTCAATTCTTCTTATATATCTTTTACGTTGGGCCTCATTAATTTCTTCTTATTTTGTAGTAGCAGACGGCGCCGCTTTCTTCCCCGCTCTTGCTCAGCTTGGGTTTCTCGCAATCCTGACTCGAGCCGATCCCTTCCTGCCTCAGCCGACTCCAGAGTCGCGGGTACGCGCATCCGGACAGGCATTGAGCCACCACACCCACGGCGCTGACAAATTATTCTTACACAAACAACTTGTATATGCCTAGAAGGCTTTCGGGATGAGTATTTAAGGAAATGTTTGGGTGATCATATTTTTCACATTAAAAGCAGTATTTATCCAGATTAAATTTTTGCCCTAGCGCTCTCCCATTCTCCCAAATCATTCGCTGGCCTTAATTCCTTCCAGCCTTTTATTTCATCTGAGCAAACTGACAACAGGTCTTTCAGTTCTTTGACTTGCTGCTTATCTGACTTCAAGATATAAAAACACGATGTACCCTCAATAAACCCATCCTCACTGCCCGGCCTGGTGCCGACAACAATCAGCATACTTGAAGCCCTTAACTCGCAGATATCTACAGCATCTTTTGATTTATTCATTTTCTATCCTTTTTAGTTGCTCCATGGGGTCCCGCTAATTAATTTCTTTCGATTTTTGATTAGAGACCGGGGTCTCACTCTCGCTCAGGCTGGGGGTTTCGCAACTCCTGACCCTCGGAGCGATCTCCCGCCTCTGGCCTCCCAGAGTGCTGGGGATGACAGGCTGGGGCCACCGCGGCCGGCCTACAGCATCTTCTTAGGCGTATATGTAGGGCTGCATGAAACACACAGCCTCGTGGCGTATAGTGCCTTGCCCATGCTCTTCATTTTACCAAGCATTGTCAATTCACAGTGATCAGATCGACCTTGAGAACTCTGGCAGAAAATAACCTCCCCAAAAACACAGCTGACACTTTTGTGCAGACTTCTGCAAGCTTCTTAATTTCATGCAAAACAGACTCTTAAACGCCCGTCATTTGGAGATATTTTCAAGACCTATTTTAGGTCTTGTGGTTTCCTGATCATGGTCATGGCATTTCCTCCCTCGCCCCTCTAAAAATGGATGTGATATAGGTGCTAAAACAAAAGCCAAAGCTTGAAGGCTTGAGTAGACTGTACTCTAACGGGCCTGGTAGCCTGTAGCCTCTGGCACTGTCCTGGGTTTGTTATTGATACGTCTTCAGTTACAGAACCCAAAGCTGAGCATCTGCCCAAGGTGGAGTGGAAACCAGTTGGATTACACCCTGATACTTAATGAGGACAGAGTATAAGAGATCTTGAAAAATGAAAAATATACAGGCGGTGGCTCACGCCTGTAATCCTAGCACTCTGGGAGGCCGAGGTGGGAAGATCGCTTGAGAACAAGAGTTTGAGACCCTATCTCTACTAAAAATACAAAAAATAAAAAAATAAAAAAAAATTAGCTGGGCGTGATGGCATGTACCTGCAGTCCCAGCTACTTGGGAGGCTGAGGCAGGAGGATTGCTTGAGCCCAGGAGTTGGAGGTTGCTGTGAGTGAGGCTGACGCCACGGCACTCACTCTAGCCTGGCAACCAGAGTGAGACGCTATCTCCAAAAAAAAATTTTTTAATGAAAAATATATAGGAATGTTACGTAGAAACAACAAAGCATCCAACATTGGAGGGTTAAGTAAATAAACTAATGTAGTCTCAGTGTGGAATTCTGGGCAGCTATTAAAATGATGTAGTGCTTGCTGGAATTTCATAGTCATTAAAAAAAATAAAATAAAATAAAATAAAATAAAAATGATGTAGTGGGCCTGGCATGGGGCTCATGCCTGTAATCCTAGCACTCTGGGAGGCCAAGGCGGGAGGATTGCTCAAGGTCAGGAGTTCGAGACCAGCCTGAGCAAGAGCTAGACCCCATCTCTACTAAACATAGAAAGAAATTAATTGGCCAACTAAAAATATAGAGAAAAAATTAGCTGGCCATGTGCGCATGCCTGTGGTCCCAGCTACTCAGGAGGAGGCTGAGGCAGGAGGATCGCTTGAGCCCAGAAGTTGGAAGTTGCTGTGAGCAAGGCTGACGCCACGGCACTCACTCTAGCCCGAGCAACAGAGTGAGACTCTGTCTCAAAAAAAAAAAAAAAAAAAAAAAAAAGCAAAAAACAAACCTAACTGATACAATGTTAAAACACAAGTTATAGTAATATAGGCTACCACCAAAAAAAAATTGTTTTTTTGGTCTCAAAAAAGATTTCAGGAATGTTGCAGGAGGCGTGGAGTGTGCACGAGTTGGCTAACGCAGCCTGTCTTTGCGCTTTGCAGATCTGTGCAGCTCAACGGTCAGACTCTGAGGATGGTGGATGATCAAACCCTGCCCACTCTGACCGAAAAATCTCTCCGCCCTGGAAGCTCCCTGGGCTTGCCGGCTTTCTCCTATGGATTTTTCGTGATAAGAAATGCCAAAGTTGCCGCTTGCACCTGAAAATGGGAGGCCTCCCCTAGCTCTGAGATTGAATTTCCCAAATGTGTTGATAAGAGGAAAGCAACTCAAACTATAGGGAGCACATACATTATCATTCAACCAGTGGGAGTTTCCAGACTCTGGGACAATTTCAGTGCTAGATTTAGCACAGGATGGCGGTCTCTTTAAGTAAGAGTACTGCTAATGATATAGCTAATAATACCTCGTGCCAAACACTATTCTGAGCACTTTGCATGTACTATTTTTATCTGAGGTTATTAGAAATGTATATCAATGCTCCCAATATGGCCAAGAGGCAAGAAAGTGAAGGATATAGTATTAGTTTTAAGAAAGTGCTTAGTTGTTTTTATTCTTAAAAACAGGTATTAGAAAATTGTTGGATTCTTTGTTTCTTTGTGTGGGTTTTTTTTTTTTTTTGAGACAGAGTCTCACTCTGTTGCCCGGGCTAGAGTGGCGTGCCATCAGCCTCACTCACAGCAACCTCCAACTCCTGGGCTCAAGCGATCCTCCTGCCTCAGCCTCCCAAGTAGCTGGGACTACAGGCATGCGCCACCATGCCCGGCTAATTTTTTCTATATATATATTTTTGGTGGTCAATTAATTTCTTCCTGTTTTAGCAGAGACAGGGTCTTGCTGTTGCTCAGGCTGGTTTTGAACTCTCTGACCTTGAGCAATCCACCTGCCAGTCCAGCTCCCAGAGTGCTAGGATTACAGGCATGAGCCACCGCGCCCGGCCATGAGTATAGTTTTAAGACAGTGCTTAGTTGTTTTCATCTCTTAAAACAGATATTAGAAGGTTGTTGGATTCTAATCCTATGCTAAATCTACACTAAATCTTTCCTTCATAGCAGCTCTATGGGCTCCCATTGGGAAAAGTTTAGTGCTACAATCTTTTTTTTTTTTGAGACAGGAGTCTCACTCTGTCACCTAGGCTAGAGTGAGTGCCGTGCGTCAGCCTCACTCACAGCAACTCTAACTCCTGGGCTCAAGCGATCCTCCTGCCTCAGCCTCCCGAGTACTGGGACTACAGGCATTGCCACCATGCCCGGCTAATTTTTCTATATATATTTTTTGAGTGGCCAATTAATTCTTTCTATTTATAGTAGAGACGGGGTCTCGCTTCTGCTCAGGCTGGTCCGAACTCGCTGACCTTGAGCGATCTCCCGCCTCGGCCTCCCAGAGTGCTGGATGACAGGCGTGAGCCACCGCGCCCGGCCTGCCCTTTGGTTTTGTTCATTTGGGAAGTTTTGCTGCGAGTAACAGAGAACCCTGATTGAAATAGCTTACACAATAAGGAAATCTATAATTGCACATGACAAGAATTCAGGCAGGGCAGCTCGCACAGTGCCATCTGTCACCACAAGGATCCCGGTTCTTCCATTTCTGCTCGGTGATCTTTAGTGCTGCTTTGTCATGGACGCTGGTCGCTCATGGTCATAGCTGTTCCGTGGACCCATCCAGACCTGGTCGCAACGAGAGGAAGAGAATGAGCAATTGTTTTTGTGTCTCCTACATAGACTTGAACTCTTTCTCAGAGATCCGCTCAGCAAACCTCTCCTGATGTCCCCCCAAGCCTTACTGGTCAGCCCTGTGCCATGTGGCCATTTCCCCCGTCTCTGCCAACAACAGTGAGGTTCCTGTCATTGTCCCTGAACGGTCCTCCTTAGGAGTGGACAGGGTGTTGGCAAATCTACAACACTGCACATCACGGTTCTGTGCTTTTCCTGCGGGACACAACGTGTCATTGTCCCCTGCCTTTGAGTCCTCTTAAGGATTAATGTTCTTAGTATTTAGGCCTGCTATGAATATTGTCTCAGTTAGATGGAAGCACATTTAGAAGCAGCCAAAGCTGGGACTTAAATCGAAGCTGGATGCTTCAATGACCCTTAGATTTTATATGCAAGTCGTTTTTATTTTTTCACATTTGAAATAAAGTAATTTTTATAACCTTAAAATTGCACGATTATTCGTATTTATTTATTTATTTATTTTTTGAGAGACAGAGTCTCACTCTGTAGCCTGGGCTAGAGTGAGTGCCGTGGTGTCAGCCTCGCTCACAGCAACCTCAGACTCCTGGGCTCAAGCGATCCTCCTGCCTCAGCCTCCCGAGTAGCTGGGACTACAGGCATGTGCCACCGTGCCCAGCTTATTCTTTTTTTTTATGTATTTTTAGTTCGCCAGCTAATTTCTTTTTGTTTTTTTAGTAGAGACACGGGTCTCTCTCTCTTGCTCAGGCTGGTCTCGAACTCCTGACCTTGAGCGATCCTCCCACCTAGGCCTCCCAGAGTGCTAGGATTACAGGCGTGAGCCACCACGCCTGGCCCTGCACGATTATTTTTTTAATAAAGCCTGTGATTCCTGCATTTGGAAGCCTTGTTTTTTCTGCTGCTTTGTTTACACCGCCTGCCTTTGTCTTTTCAGCCTCCTCAATGCCAAAACAATTGACCGTAAGGACAAGAGACCATCAGTCACAAACACTGTTTCTTAATTCATCACGAAGATTAAATCGTGATTCAAGTCGTGTCCTGTTTTTCTTCTCCCTGTCCCCTCTTCTACTTTGAGGTCTAAATTCTGCCTTGTGTTATTATAAGGATTTCCTAATTCATCGTACATCTTGACTTTTCTTAAAGTTTTTAAGTGGCTCCCCTTGTTTTGTTTTTTTGTGTTTTGTTTTGACACAGAGTCTCACTCTGTCACCCAAGCTAGAGTACCCTGGCATCAGCCTTGCTCACAGCAACCTCCAACTCCTGGCCTCAAGTGACCTCCTGCCTCAGCCTCCTGAGTAGCTGGGACAACAGGCATGCACCACCATGCCCAGCTAATTTTTTATTCTATGTATTTTTAGTTGGGCAGCTAATTTCTTTCTATATTTTTAGTAGAGACGGGGTCTCGCTCTTGCTCAGGCTGGTCTCAAACTCCTGACCTTGAGCGATCCTCCCGCCTCGGCCTCCCAGTGTGCTTGGATGACAGGTGTGAGCCACTCAACCTCGCCCAGCCCCTCCATGAATTCTAGGCTCCAACCACACATGGGTTGAGAAGTCTGAACATACAGGTGCTTTCATGTTTTGCTCCTATATGTTGTGCGGTTCCTTCTACTGTCTACCTAGACCATTCTAACTCTCCTCTCTTAAGTGGCAAACTTCCATGTTTATTAAGGTCCAGCTCAAACACCCGTTTCAATACTTCCTCTTTCACTCACATCACTTTCCTCATTTTTCTTTGCTGCCATAGCACTTGGTACATTGACGATGGCACTTACGATGCATCTTAATCACGTCCACCAATCTGCCTCGCTTGACTCTAAGCTTATAAGAAACAGGTATGTTATCTAATCATGTTTATCTTCCCTGTGCTTAGCATGTTGTCTAGCACAGAATAACCACTCTAATGACATGGAAGAACATTTACATTTTGAGGTATTTTGATTTTGAAAAAAAAAAAAAAAAAAAAAAAAAAAAAAAGAGAGATCATGGTGGGCAGCCTGTAGATCAGCTACCTAGGGGAGGCAGAGCTGAGCCGGAGGAATCCCTTGAGCCAGAGTTGAGGTTGCTGTGAGCGGAGGCTGACACACGGCACTACCACTCTAGCCTGGGCACAGAGTGAGACTCTGTCCAAAAAATAATAATAAAATAAATATAATAATATGTATCTAATCAGTCGTGATAAAAAAAGAAAGAAAAAAAATATAAGAAAAACATTTTTAAAAATAATAGAAAATAATATCCTTGACCCACCTTCAAAGTGAAAAAAAGAAAAAAAAAAATAATAAATATAAAATTATTAACAGGGTGAAGACCAATAGGAACAAGACCAACCATGGTTCACAAGCACAGGCGTGGAAGATAACAGGCAGGAAAAGGCAGGACATGAGACACAGGCGTCCTGCCGACGCCAACTGCGCATCGCCGCCGCCGGACGCCCGGAGAGTGACTCAAGCCACAAAAAAGACAAAACAGCAGCGCAGACGCCGCCCTCCTCCCTGCGCGGCGCCATGCTGAGGCTCGCGACGCGGGGCGCCTGGTGTGCGGGGCGCTGCGGCGTGGCCGGCGTGGCTGCGGGCAGCGCGGGAGGCCGTCCACCT